AACAAAACGATTGGATTTTTCTTAAGAGTTAGAAGTATTGATAGAAATTGTCACCAAAAATAATCCCTTTACCTCTGTGAGTATAGTTGTCTCATATGAAGGTTGATATTTCTCCTTTTCATGAGGTGTTCGCTTCTCCATTTTCTCTCTATCTGTTTTTTGCTTTCTGTCTGCACCCTTGGGCTGAAATGAGACATACTTTGTTTTAAACTCAAGTACTCATCCTTTGACCCAACAACATTACTTCTAAAAACTTAGTTACATGTGAAACAAAGATGTACAATGATGTAAAGGCTAGATGAATCACTGTATCTAAGTCTGAAAGTAGGAAATTTAAATGTTTGATGGAGTTGGAAAAGAATAACAGATCTATAGATAGAGACATGGAAAGATCTCTAAAGCACGTAATTCATTTAAAAAGCAAGCCTCAAAACAGTTCAAACAATATAATCCCATTAATGTCTGAAAAGAAAATATGTGTATATCTACGTACATGTGTATATGAAACACAGAAGGGAACTAGAAGGATACCTACTAAATTATAACAGTGGTTACCTCCGGGGAGAGGTTGGGGAGTCAGGGTGAGAGTGGTAGAGGGAGACTTCAAGGTCGTATTCTGAATACTTTTATGTTAATGAATCTTTTGCAATGAGAACGTATTTATCCATGTGTTAAAAATAAAGGACAAAAAGATCGAGTATGAACGTAACCAAGACTGTCAACTTTTCATAATTTTTGTCAGCTTTTATAAGAGTTTGTAACCAATAAGCTTTAAAAGCATTCAATGAAATTTCACAGTTTTGTTTTTTGGTTTTTTTGCTTCTAGATCCCTCTTCATGTTCTCTTTCTCTCATGCCCATCCCTGTTTAAATTTCTTTACCAGGCATCTCGGAAATTATTTCAATGATTGTAGCTTAAACTGAGTTTTCATAGTTTTTGAAAAAAGACAAGTTGGCTTTCTGACTAGTGACTAATGTTACAACTGAAAGATAAGGAAAAGCGTTCCAAGGGCCAACACAATGCCCAGGAATACCTTGAAGACTTTGATCTGGCAGCTGGCTGAGTGTAAGTGCTCAGTATATTCCCCATTCTCATTCTCCTTGAAGGTATCGATTTGTACTCGGAATGGCACTCCCTTTTCTCCACCATGTTTCCTCATGGTGAACTCTGTGCTAATACAGTGCACCTGAAGAGAATATAACAACTCGGTTTCAGTACTGCTAGCTAGCCAAACCAGTCAGTAACATTTTTTGAGCAACTACTAACAGCAAAACCTTTAAAAAGCATTATGAGCACCTACAAAAAACTTACACTCTCTTTTTGATCTTGAAGGATTTATACTCTTATGGAGGAAATGATGAAAACTTAAATGATTTACAAATGCAAACAAAAGCTACTGTAAGGAATTAAATTCATTAACTGCATCAGAGAATTCAGAGTTAACATAAAGAGAAATGATTTCTATTAGTAAAAGTTTCTAGGACTTTTAGGTAGATTTTAGAAAGCGGGGACAATATCCATGCTGGGAAAATAGTAAATATGGAAGTTCACAGGCAATAGGGGAAAAATGGTTTACTCAGCTACTGCGTAAAGTCTAAGACATTGCTGAATATGAATGGTGGAAACTCGATCGACCAAATACTACCTTTGGTAAGTTATTAACTTCTTTAGGCCTCAAGGACTATTCTTAATCCACAAGATTATTATCAAAAGTCTTAAATAAAAACATGCATACAAAGTGTTTACTTAATACAGTGACTATTTCATGGGAAGTACGCAATGAACGGTTAACTATCATTATGACAAAAATTTTCAAGAAATCTACTCAAAGGACATAATCAGATATGCAAAACAAATTTAAAGTATAAAGATGTTCAAAATAAGTTTATGAATAATTGTGAAAAATTCAGACAATCTCAATGCTAAATAATTGTTAGGTAAGTTATGTTACATAAAGAATAAAACATGCAGCCATTAGCAAGCATTTTGGGGACAAATAAATAAATTAGGAAAATTAGAAGAACAATTCAGAAACTCCTCATTGCTCTTAGGCACATGTTGAAGAATCTGCTCTTGATAATCAGACTGGAACTCTGTAAAGATTTCCAATTCAACATGTTTTATTCTTTAAGAAACAAACTGGCAGTAAGAGATACTCTTCAAAACTGGAACCCCGTCTGCAATGCCTTACCTGAATAAACACAGATGTCCTCTTTGCAGGGTCCCACAGGAACTCCACTGTATTTAGCTGGTTTGGATTGGCCCTAGGATCGATTATACCCACAGACATTGGGATATCTGAGAAACAAATGGTAATCATTGAACAATTCTGAGTGCTACTGGGTTTAAATAAGAAAGCACTGATTCTTACACAGGTATTACTGGTCCCTAGTAATCAGGGTTTTTGTGTGAACCTCTTTTTGCCAGTGAAGAAGGTTTGAACAGCACATAAAATTGACCTAAGTACTTTCCTTCTGAGTATCTTTAAAAAGTTTTTAAAGTAAGACAATTTAGAAGCAGTTTCTTTTTAATTGGCCAAAATTCAACTTAAAGATAACTTTAGTCTACACATTAGCTCGTGTCATGAAAATTTTAACTTATAATCTGTTTCACTTACAGTTTTAAAAGTAGTGGTACTACTAGACATATAGTAAGAGCACTGCTACAGATTAAGCAGAGTGAATAAAGGCAGAAAGCATTGTAAAGACTGATGCTGACTTATGAAGTCATCAACTCATCTTTTAACAGAGTGACACATCTTATACTCGAGAGGTAAGCAAAAATGTGCTTTAGTAGAACTTTGCTTTCCATTTCATATAGCATATATTCAAATATCATTCCCTGTCTACTTCTATTAATATTCAAACTAGGAGATAAGGCCAAGCTGATATTTATTACTATAACTATACTACTGTTTAAGTATCAATGATTCAAACAAGAAAGCATTAAGTGGGTCCCACTACTCCACAATGTTAGTTGTGTTGGGTTCACCCTAAAGCTAATTTATCAAATGAATATCAGGATATCTAAGAGAACCAGTGTTTTCTCAGGTAAAACTAACAGTACTTAGATTTGTTTAACTATATTTACCAATAGGAGGTAATAACCAATAAGAGGTCAAAGACACAAACGCTGGGATTATAAGTATGTTCATGAAGAGAGACAGTATGTGTTTCTAAAGATCCTTCCCTTATATCCCATGATTTAAGAAAAACAAATTCTACTCTGTAGTGAAGTAGTGAAGTAGGAAAAACTTAACTGTAAACCAAGAGACACAGATTCTAATCCCAGGTGTCCTACTTTAGGTTAAGACAAACCACTAATCTAGGTCAGGTATTAGTAAGACAAAGGAACTTGTGAAATTTAGGGAAAAAAACCTGTCCCCTTTTACGTACTTACCCCAACAAAATATCAGACCCTGAATAGCCAAAACAATCTTGAAAAATAAGAAAATTGGAGGTCTCATATTTCCTGATTTCAAAACTTATTACAAAATTACAGTATCAAAACAGTGTGGTATTTGTCATAAAGATAGACTAATGGACAAAAGGTACAAAAACAAAGAGCCCAGAAACAAACCCTCGCATATATGGTGAAATGATTTTAGACAAGGGTGCCAAGACCATTCAACAGGAAAGGATAATCTTTTCAACAAGTGGATATCCACATGCAAGGAATGAAGCTAGACCCCTTACTTTATACCATATATAAAAATTAACTAAACATCTAATATCAGACCTAAAACTCTTAGAAAACATACCAGGAAAAGCTTCATGACACCGGATTTTGCAATGATTTCTTAGATGTGACAATAAACACAAAGGCAATAAAAAAAAAATAGATATTGTAGACTACATCAAAATTTAAAACTTTTGTGCATCAAAGAACACTATCAACATAGTTGAAAAAGACAACCCACGCAGAATGGAAGAAAATACTGCAAATAGTATATCTGATATGGGGTTAATATACAGAATTTATAAGGAAATCCTACAACTCATAAACAACAAAAAACAAAAATAATCCAACATAAAAACACGAGATTCAAAAATGGGCAAAGGACTTGAATACACATTTCTCCAAAGATATGGCCGATAAGCACATTAAAAGATGCCAGACATCACTAATTACTAGAGAAATGTATATCAAAACCACAATGAGATACCGTTTCTTTACCATTAAGATTGCTACTATCAAAAACTAGAAAATAACAAATGTTGTTGAGGAGATAGAGTAATTAGAACCTTGTGCAATTCTGAAGGAATGTAAAATGTGCAGTTGTTGTGGAAAACAGTATGGTGGTTCCTCAAAAAATTATAAATAGAACTACCGTATTATCTAGCAATTCCACTTCCAGTATGTACCGAAAAGAACTGAATAAGTATTTGTACACTCATGTTGATAGCAGCATTATTTACAATAGCCAAAAGGTGGAATCAACCCAACTGTCCATTGAGAGATGAATGGATAAACAAAATCTGATATCCAAATACAATGGAATATTATTCAGCCATGAAAAGGAAGGAAATTCTGACACTACATGAATGAACCTTGAGGATTATGCTAAGTGAAATAAGCCAATCACAAAAAGACAAATACTGGATAATTTCACTTGCTAAAAATGATTAAAATGGTAAATTTTGTTATATATATTTTACCACAACTAAATTAAAAAAACAAAAATAAAACCAAAATCACTCTGAAGTAATGGATGCAATTGTTATGGAATTGAAGTGTCTACACTTCCAACTTTAATTTTGATACCGTCATACTGATAATTTTTTATGTTTAGTCAATAACCACTTCCAAGTTCATGCTAATTGAGCCCCTGAAACATTTTGAATCAAGGTAAACATTAAAGTAAAGAAAACCAATTCTCAGACCATGGTTATAGGTATTTCCTGAGCAACAGATTCTCTTAACTCACCTATGTCAAGAATTCTATCTCCAGGTCGGTTCCACCTCCAGCCCTCCAGCTGCTGGTGTTCAGTATATTGTAGCCGTCTGTCATGGAACACTACACGGAATATACTCTAAAAGGAAACAACAAAATCAAATCATAATAGGATTCCTTAAAAAAAAAAAAATCAGTGCTGACACACATCTGAAACTAATATTCTGTTAACTATATTTTAATAAAAATCTTTTTTAAAAAATCTGTTGACAAAAGAGTCACCCCCAGTTTCTAGACACAACTTAAAATTATTTTTCTTACGATCTGTTTCACTCAAATGCCATATCATACTAAGCTCTATTTCAAGGTAATTTTATAACTGCTCAGATATACTCTTTATGATTAACTGGTACCGTATTTAAAATTTGGCTTAAACATCAGGCCTGATGGTAACTAGGCATAAAGGACTCCCATTGGATGTATTTCTACATACCTCTATTGTTAGTTACCATATAATATTTGGCTTGGCTCTTCACCAAGTCCCTTGCTTGCTAACCCAACATATAAACTGTTTCCATCAACTTTCCTTTTGTCATTCTTACTTTGAGGAGGTACCTATCAATATCCTAACACTTTTACAGCTGCTGACCAATTTCTGTCTCAATTGTGCTGTGAATTCATTACTGTCAGTCTAGACGAAGAAAACTACTATTCACCAAGAGTAGATTCTGTTTTCCTTGCTACTAGACCAATTATCCAAAGAGACAGTGGAGCATCTCTAAAGATTTCAAGGAAGTTACTTTATTCTACCTGAAAGAACTTCACAGAGCCAGGAGACTACCCTGACATGGAGCGGTAAGCCTTCATTTCTGCAGCTCTGAAAAATCCATGTGAAGAGGGGGGATCACTCTGACCCCAAAGAATTAATACAACGGTTTATCACTGTCAGCAAATTGTAGCAGGCAAGAGATATCACCAAACCCTTTATGGAAGCAAAAGAATATTACAAAGGGTCAGTAAGAGGATGTGCAGAGGAATGATTTACTCATTTTCTTTTACCTTCACCAACTTGCCATTAATTTCTGGAAGTTCTCCAAGTTTCCTATTGTCTAGCATTCGGATTTCGTAAGACTGTCCTACAAGAAAAAGTAACTACATGTTATATTTTTCATAAATTAATTTTGCAGTCTTCAGAAAGAATAAAATTTAGTTGAGAGGAGAGCTTCCACGTGATATGTAGTGATGGCAGTGTGTTGAATTTTAGGAGAGCAGTGTTCTCTGATGATTCTAAGTATGGAGCCACCTTGCTTTGTTAAATGATCTGAGGGGCGTGAGAACTAAGGGGTGTGAGTCCCAGGGAGCAGGGGAATCAGGTGCACATCCAGACTCGCCACTGGCTGATCTGGGCTTCAGGAAGAGACAAGTGTGCAGTGGACCCCACGGCACAAAGGAGGGAGCTGGTGCCTGTGTGCTGTAAGAGGAATGAGAAACCCCTTAGTCCCATGATACCGCGGGCTGTGCTGTGCTTCCCCCTACCCCAAAGGTTTACCTGAAGGTAGATTGAGGGGCCTGGAGGCGAACCCATGTGTTTAGAATCGGCTTGGCGCTGGGTAGCTAGAAAATGGTCCAAGCATGGATGGGTACACCACTGCCCTTGAAATACCATGAGGAGTATCTCTCTTTTGGACAGAATCATGACTTGAAATTACTGAACAATTAAAGGTTCCTTTCTCCAGAATCCCCTATCCCTGAAAAAAGGCATTTTAGCAACCTTTTTAGAGCTATGCATGAAAAATGATGTTAGATTCTGTGCAGAATAAAAGCATACATAAGCCCTGGTCCCTTTTCTCAGGAGTTCAGTGTAGCTGGAAGCCAAACTACTCCCTCACCTTTTCAAGTTTCTTAATCTTTGCCTCACTTGCCTCATCATCTATAAAAAGGGAATAATATTGAATAATCCATCTTGTAGGGTTGAGAGGATTAAATGCCTTAATACATATTGAGCACATTAAACCATGCCGAGCACTTAATGACTCAATGTATATCAGCTGTCATCATCATAATTGCTATATTGCCGGCATCATCTAGAAGTGACACATTGTAGAAAGTGGTTTTCAAATAACTTAAAGATAAAGTAAAATACAGTAAAAACTCTATGTTAGAAGAGTAGAGACAGAATCTTATGAAAGTTCGTAGCCCCCACTTATCTTGCTTACAAGTTTATGACAGCTGTTAAACGCAGGAGCTTTCATAAATGGCTTTAGAGGCAAAAAAAAAAAAAAAAAAGAAAAAGAAAAAGAAAATTCAGTTGGTTGAATATATAAGAGTATTATGTTTGTTATCAGTATTAGTAATAACAACTATAATCTTTTACTTTATGCTAGGCACAGTGCTAAGTGTTTTCATATGTTATATCATTTAACTGATACAACTCTAAGGTATTATTAATCCCATTCTTACAGATAAGGAATCCCATTCTTACATAAAGAATTTAAACAACTTGTCCAAGGCCACACAACTGGTAAATAATAACGCTGGGTAGGGTACTACCTCTCAGACTAAAATCAATGAGGATGTCCAGGGAACATGGATTACAAAAAGAGGGATGAGAACTAAAAATGGGCAGATAGATTTTTTTTAAAAAAGCCAGAATATATATCAAATATGAGATAAAACTCAAATCTCTGAAGTAAGCCTTTGATTTCTGACAGGTCACACTAGAAAGATGCACTTTTTACATAAAGTATACCTAAATATCATGAATCCAGCAGGTCTGCAATACTACTAACAAATAAAGACGCATCTAACCTTGATTGAGATATGTCAGGGTTTCATCGTGGAGTTTCACTGCTGGAGAGGTGGCAGCACAAAGCACATATTGAAAAGGTAAGATTTTATTCTCATTATCAGAAGGTAAACTTGACTCTTCTTGCTTAAAAATAGGTAATGCGAGAACATCACTAAAAAAAAATAAATGCCTTTTGTTAACGTTTGACAATGGTGTGAGAGCAGATTTATTATTGAAACGATTGCAATTTGCTTTGGAAAACCATAAACATTACTCGCTTTGGTAGAGTTTCTTTCCAACTATTCAGTTCAGATCACCTGCTGTGATATCCCCCTGACAACAAAGTGGGCAATGGCACATAATCACTGCTAAAACCACCGAAGTGTCCAAAAAGAGCAGTTCTAGGAAACAAACAGGTGTTCCTAAAAGGGCTCTGAAAATTTTATGTAGAGTTCCAAAATCTCAATTTAGGACACTCAGTAATGTATTTGTTTTCAGAAGGACACCGACTGCATTTTCTTTATGAAGCAGTCCTTCCTTATCCACAGTTTTGCCATGGTTTCAGTCACCCATAGTCAGAAAATATTAAATGGAAAATTCCAACAATAAACAATTCATAAGTTTTAAGTTACACACTATTCTGAATAGTATGATGAACTCTCCAGCTGTCCTGCTCAATCCAACCAGGGACATGAATCATCCCTTTGTCCAGCATATCCACATTGTATAGCCATATATATCAGTTACCAAATATTTTTTTTTGGGGGGGGGAGCTCACCCATATGCACATATTCACATAACTTTTGAGAGACTTTGTTGCCATACCATTCTTAAGTACATCACATCTGATGATATTTTGAAAGATTCATGAAGATTACTAGGAATCAAGGCAAATATGATTTTGCAACACAGCAACAGCTCAACCTTTAGGAATTAGGGTGTTTTTTCTTTTGCAAATGTCAGTGCCTAGCAAGGTTAGTATTCAGCAAGTTTCTAGTCTCCATATAATGTAGAATTACACCTAACCTCTCATGACTAAGCAAAGGACTATCATTTAAGGCTGGAATTCTAAAGTGATTCTAAAGTTACCCCTAAAATTAACTCAGAATAGTACAGCCAAAGCAAATGCACAAAACTGTATTTTCTCATCAGAGATTTTAAGATCTAAAAACCTCAAATATATCTGAATTACTCATGTTCTTAGTACACTGCATTTCTTTTATTCTGCTGTGGGAACAAGAGTACCATTCAGTTCCACATTCCTAGAGGTGGAGGCTAAAAGTCACATTGGTAACTACAGTTCAAGGCCTCTGCTTTTACAAAATAATAAGAAACAAATTCAGCAAGAAACAATTGTGAAAATATAGAAGTCTGCTCCTTCTCAGAGATAAACTGAATGCAGAGTAGGAAAACCCACTGTAAGTGGTTGCTACCAATGTATAATTTAGCATTTTATTATATTCTCCGATTGCTTCATGTCTGAGATGCTGAAAGGGAAAACAGAATTGAGGTTTTCAAAGATTAACTTGTGCCAATCTCACATTATCTGAGATAAAGAAAAAGGGGGGAGGTATCTAAAGAGATTAAGATGACAAGCTCAATCAACTCAGAATTAGAAGGACAAGCATAAGAAAAATACATATAAAAGGAAAGAAACTTTTTAAAGTGACATATACATATATATATATATAAAAGAAGCAAGCCTGAACTGAAGCCCATAACATGCTGACACTTGCAAAAAAGGTACAGAAGGCATCGGTCCACTCTTTGATGTAAACAGCATATTACTAATTAATATAAAGCAGAGACAGAAGAACATCTCAATTCCTGTTTTTCTTCTATCTTTTCTGTAAAGAAAACCACCTTGAGAACAGAAAGAGAAAATCAAATATGGGAGAAGTAGATTAATGACCAAGATAAATAAGGAGACTTTCAAAAAGTGCCTGGAATGAAATTATATACCAGGAGAATTAAAGAATGTGCAGATGAGATCCATGAGTGACATTCTGTAAAGAGACAAATCTCATGATTCTGATAATGCCAAATATCACATTAGCTTTTCATGTCTGTAGTAGCAATTTTCAAAATGAGGAGAGTATATTCTCCATATCTTACACCAGAGTGACCTGACATGAAATCTGGGCAAGACTGTAGAACAGGTTATTAAAAGAATAGTCTACGATCCCAGACAAGCAAAAACTAAGGAGTTCGCAACCATTAAACTGGCCTTACAAGAAATGTTAGTCTTCTTTATGCAGAAAAAAAAGGCCATAACCAGAAATAAGAAAATACAGGAAAGAAATAATTCTCACCAGTAAAGGCAAATATACAAGAATCACAGTGAATCAACCACTTAAAAAGCTAATATAAAGGTTAAAGATGATAGTAGCAAAATTAAGTATAACTACAATGACCAATCAGGGGATACACAAATCAAAAAGATATAAAACATGATATCAAAAACATGAAGAATGGAGGGGGAGAGTAAAAAAAAAAAAAAAAAAAGAATAGTTTATGAGTATTTAGGCAGAGCATCGGGGATCACTAGGGGTCATAACCAAACTAACTGATTTTCCTTTTTTTATATGATTTGACCAGGGAATGCTATAAGCATAAATATTTCTGGATTTCAGCAATACATAAAATATCTCTTGACATCCTTGTTCAAGGTGAAAAAGATGAATTTTACAGTAGTTAAGTGGCTTTACAGATAACCATACAACCATATCTAAAGAGTGCAGTTAAGTCTAAAAGGTTTGTGGTATGCCACAGGACCCCAGAGAAACTTGTCCTCTGCAACATTTTTCACAAATAAATAACTTGGATGAGGACAGTGAAGAGGATGATGAATCAAATATCCAAATAATAGGAATCTGGCATGGGAAAGCAACTATCCTACATAATAGAATCAACTTTTAAAGTAATTCTAATTGGCTGGAACAGGAAGCTAAATCTAACAGGATAAGATTTAATAAGGATAAATATAAAGTCATGCACTTAGAACTTAAAACAATAAAATGGCCCACTATATGTGAGAAAGACTAAGGGCGTCAATAAAATCTATTTCTAGGGCATATATATATGAGACAAACAGTGTGATATGTTTGCTAAAAACAGTGGTACCAGGTTTCATTTAAAACAAAGTCTGATGAAGGAAATGACATTCTTCTCTATGCAAATCAGACTACACTTGAATACTATGCTTAGTTCTGAGTGTGGAACTTTAAAAAGAAGACTTTAAAAATCTAAGGAATGAGATAAGAATAAATGAGGGAAACTAACGTCATGTCATTTGAAGAATAAGTAAAGGAAATGAGGATGTTTGTCTTAAACAAAGAACTCTTGCTAGGTATACTCTGTAGATTCAATTACCAGTTCAGGATTCAAAGAGCTGGCCTCTTTAAGATGTCTTCCAAATCAATTCTACGATATATAAAAGGACCTAAATGTTTTGAGCCTGTTAAAGTTTTAGAAGCTGCACTGAGATAGGCCTAGAGATTCCTAGGTATTATTATAAAATACTAACTGGTATATAATACCCTCTAGTAGACAGGAAACATCACTAGCTTACTGCTATTATAGTCTAAAACTTGTTCTACAGCATCTGCTATAAAAGGCAGCAGCCAAATGATAACTATAAAAGTTATCTGTGCCTTTATTATCTGGCTAGACCAACTGGCTTATAAATCTATTTTTTTAAATTTCATTTTTGCCTTTGTGTATTTGCCATGACAAAACAAGACTAATTATAATAAAGGCACAGATAACATCTAGACATTCTAAACCTTCTATATACCAAATCCAAAAGACTCATCACTATAATGTTTTCTAACACAGACAATTCCTAAAAATGGTATTCTTGATTAAAGTCAAGATGTAAAAAGGTTTTCAATTCTTAGTGAAATTCTACATCTTATCACTTGGGCAAGGTGATTCTAATGAACTATATGAACTAGCTAGTAGTAAGTGGAATATAAGTTTCCTGAGATATTGATAACTCCCTTCTTAAAAAGAAAACTTCAATCATTCATTCAAATATTTATTGAGTACCTACTAGTGCCAGAACACTATTCTAAGTACTAAAAACCACACATCAATTTTTTTAAATAAAATAATTTTATTCTCCTTCTTTCCTCTTTGTTTTTTTCCTTTGGTCTTCTATGTTTCAGTAATAGTCAATAAATAATTGGTACATCTTTTTAGTTCTTACTAATTTTTTAACACAAAGTTTACGATATCACTATTCCCCAATCTGTACTCACTTCTCCCTAACCAAGTTATAATTTACTAAGTTCTTTTTCATTTATGCCTAACTTACAGCTAAATAGCTGCTAGACAATTCCTATCTAACCATAACAGGACAAATGCCAAAAGAATTTGGGGAAAAAAATGAAAATAAATAAAACTAGATAATCCAAACGTAGTCTTCAGTTTTACATACAAGAAAAATTGCATGAGATTTCATAACTAGGCTGCTAATGTCTCTTTGGAAGCAAATCTCTAAAGGCGGCCAATGATGATCATTATCTCCTGGTGTTCATATCTTTACGTGGATTCCTTCTACCTTGAATCTGATGAATCTGGGCTAGAAAATTGTTCTAACAAAGACAATGTGGAAGAAATAACCATGTGTCAGTTCTGGCCTAGGGACTAATCTTTATGGATTGTCAGCTTTCACTTTTGTGTTTTGGGAAACCCTGAACTGCCACATAAGAAGCCTGGCTACCCTGCTGGAGAGACCACATGGAGTGGCAACATGGAGAGGGAGAGGCTCTGAGGCTACATGGAAAGAAAAGGAAAGACAGAGACAGACACAAGTCAGATAGGTAGGTAAGTAGGCAGGCAGGCAGGGAGGCAGGCAGGCAGGCAGACAAACAATCAATCCAACCATCCCAGTATCCCACAGAGCCCAGCTATGGACATGTGAATGAGATCTCTTGAATGTTTCAGCCCATGTCTCCAGACGACTACAGGCTCAGCTGATACCACATAAAGTAGATCTGTACAATCAATCTATAGATTCATAAGAATTGAAAAACTGTTGTTTCAAGCCACTACATTTTAGGAGTGGTTCGTTAAGTAATAAGAGGAATAGGTTGGTCCCTGTCCCAATGTTTCTAAATAATTCTTTACAATAAAACTTAATAGTACTAGTAAATGAGTAAAGGAAGA